ACAGAGCCCGATGTGGGGCTCGAACTCACGGACCGCGAGATCATGACCTGAGCCGAAGTCGGCCGCTTAACCGACTGAGCCACCCAGGCGCCCCACTTTTTTTTTTTTAATGTTTATTTATTTTTGAGAGAGGGGGCAGGGGAGGGGCAGAGAGGCAGACAGAGAATCCAAAGCAGGCTCCAGGCTCCGAGCTGTCAGCACAGAGCCCGACATGGGGATCAAACCCACAAGTTGTGAAATGATGGACCTGAGCGGAAGTCGGGCACTTAACCAACAGAGCCACCCACGCACCCCCAAATTTACTTCTTAATCTTATGGTCTTTTTTAGCGTAATGTATTCTTTCTCTTTGAGCCTTCGAACATACTTGAAGTCTTTTATCAGGGTATTCCAAAAAAGTAGTTTCACCCGGGGTGAATCTGTTTTGACATTATTTGCACTCTTTCTTAGCATAGATTTCTTCCCCTGACAATCCACAGGTGAGTTTAGCAGTTGGCTCCATGCAGCTCCTGCCGCTTTGGTCTTTATTCTAGAATCAGGTCTGCTGACATTCAGTAATCTGGGAATATCACAGAGCAGGCAGTCAACAGGATTGTGTCAATTACCTGTTCTAAATTGGGGGTGGGTGGGTAGTCCAAGTCCTCCCGCCGTCTGCCTGGGTCTGGGTCCTAATAAAAGTCTGTCATCCAGCGGGTGTGCAGGCTGGGTTCTGGTCCGGCTCCCTCCCAGCAGTGAGCCTGACTTTGGTTCCGGTCTTGCATGCGGTGCTTCCAGTACTCTCTACTCCATAAGCCCTAACAGCCAGTAGCTTGTTTCTGCAGTGGAGCCCAGCAAGCTTTTGGCTTCAGCCCTGCCTCACTACTTTGCATTTTTACTCCATTGCTGGTCCACAGAAATATTCATCTTGTTTTGGGGTCAGTGTGTTTTCTGTTTTCTGGCTTTTACCTTTTCTAGATCACTGTTGTTTGGGGGCCAAAGTGGGCATCACTTAACTGGAACACTGGTGCTCCACCTGGACTCCTCCACCTCCTCACCCTTCCCTCCTTCCCTTGCCCTATCTCCCTTGAGTACCTCTTCTGCCCTCTTGTCCCCTACCTCTCTGGAATCTTGCTCCCCTTCTCACCCACCTTTCTCTTTTGAACCCCAGCTTGCATCCGCCCCTCACACACTTGCAGGCACTCTGTGCCTGCGCCTGGTGACACCTGCACGGACATCGAGCCTTTCATTCACTTACATCCACTCCTAATGGACCCTTTGTATTCTGAACCCCTCAGTGGCGAGGACACCCATACCCACAGCCCATATCCATAGCTGTGCCACCCAACTGCTCTTAAGGCAACCATAATCACTTGGCAGCAAGCAGGGGAAAACATTTAAAGACCTACAAGAACTTAGAAAATTTACTGCCACTACAGGAAACATGAGTAAATAATAATACAGGGAGGAGTACAGGATAAATTGGGATTTATGTTCCTGGGATGAGGAAAGCTCTCCTAGCCATGACAAGAAATCCAGGTTTCTTAAAAATGAAATCTGAGGAACATTAAACTTTCATGCAATATTAGAAAAAAACCCCAATTTGTAAAGACAAACTAGGAAAACATTCACCGAAGTCTAATTTCCTTAAAATAGCGGTGGCTTAAAATCATTAAGGATTTGACAATCCGATAGTAAAACGATGAGGCAAGAGCGGGCAACCCCAAAAGACAAAAGACAAATACCCAGGAAACTGAACACTTGCCAATCCTCACTAAATACAAACAACAAAAAACAATGATGTAATTTCTTTTTGCTATTCGGACTGGCAAATTTGTAAAAATTGAGAATATAGAGGATTGGCAAGCAGGTAAGAACATAGAGGTGTTTTTAGATCACTGCAACAATGTAAGTTGGTAAAAACTTTTCGGCAGGGGACATCGGGAAGGTATTAAAATTTTAAATGTCCCCACTCTCTGACCCAGCAACTGTACTTCCAGGAATAGATCCTCCAGCGACTTTCACAGGGCAGAGGTGAGCGAGGCTGGGCACTGTGGCACCGTGGGCAGCACAATACAGTGGAACCTTGCCATGCCTGTCACTAGAGAAGCCATGAAATAAATGCTGGGGCAGCTAATGCTCAATGACGCCATCATCCAAAGAGACATAGATCTGCGTGCTGCACGTGTCACATGTCCAACATACCGGTAAGTGAAGTGGTAGGTTGAACAAGAGCCTGAATAGAATGTTCACATTTTTGTACAAGAGAAGTGGATATGTGGCGCCTGGGTGGCTCAGTTGGTTAAGCGTCCAACTCTTGATTTTGGCTAAGGTCATGATCTTATGGCTCGTGGGACCGAGCCCCGCATAGCACAGAGCCTGCTTGGGATTCTTTCTCTCTGCACCCACCCCCTCTCACTTGCACTCAGACTCTCTTTTAAATAAACATTAAAAAAAAAAAAAAAAAAACATGGGGCGCCTGAGTGGTTCAGTCGGTTAAGTGTCCGACTTTGGCCTAGGTAATGATCTCACGGTTCGTAGGTTCAAGCCCTGCAATGGGATCTCTGCTGACAGTTCAGAGCCTGGAGCCTGCTTTGGATTCTGTGTCTTCCTTTCTCTTTGCCCCTCTCCTGCTCACGCTCTCTCAAAAATAAATAAACGTTAAAAAAAAATTTTTTTTTAAGTGGATATGCAAACAGAAGGAAATATATCAAATGTTCACCAAAATGCTAGCAATGGTTGTCCCAGAGAGGTGGAGACAGAGAGCACTTGTACTTTATATATGTGTGTATATACACATACACACACACAGACACACACACACCTTTTTTAATGAGCATATATTAGTCTAATAAGCAGAAAAATACAAATAAAAACAAATCATGATTAGTAAAGCCTTTCATAATTACTTTAAAATTTCTTAACATAATGATGGGTATAACTCGAATTTCTCTGTCCTTATTCATATAGGTGATGTATGAATTAAAGTAACCAATAGGCCCAGTATTATGGATAAAGAAAGAGCAGAGTTTTAACTTGGTCATAACTTCCTTTCCAAATTCTCCTGCTCATCTCCAGGCACGGTGTGACACCCACCGATAAGAATCAACTCACTTGGCCAGGTGCGTGTCAGAAACGCACCTGGTCTCCCCTGGCTGCCATGACTGACTCCCAGTGCCTGAGCAGACACAGCAACCACAGGAAAGGGAAGTCCCAGATTCTCACAGGATTCGTCTACCCTTGCCAGACCAAGTCCTCTGAAGATTCGCTGATTTCCATGTCTCTCTCCAAATCGGAGGTTTACAATGTGCTCACCCAGAGAGAAGCAGGGACATCCTCTGGTACTGAGAACAGGAGTAAAAGGGGTCAGCCAGAACATCTCTGGATTTAGGAGAAGGAAGATGGCCTCAAGGGTGGGAGACATTGGTGGCAGGTCTCCGGTCAGGGACAGAGAAGGGAGAGCGCTCCCAGGTCTCCCCGCTGCTGCTCCCCACACTCCATCCATGCAGTGGGGCTCCCATGCCTGTGCTGCTGAGCCTCTCCTGCACCTACATCGACCATTTCTTCAGAGACTGGAAATGGGTCCTAACACCCCACAACAAAACAAGCAGGGGACCCTAGGCTCAGCCATTACCAACAGCAACCAGATTATTATAAAGATGGGGAAAACCATAGCTTAAAAGGGCAGAGGTGGGGGGAGGACTAAATTTTCCAAAATGTAAAATTTTCCTTCTACCTTCCCCAATCATTTGCACAATTTTTGTAAAGTCCAAACGTAATTTAAAATGAGGTAGGTAGTTTCTCTCTCCTCTGCCTCCTCTTCTTTGTGGCGACTGTC